TAGCTTGGAGTGATCTGCTGCTGGGTAAATCCAAGTCCTGTGTTATCCCACTTGTCACTTTCTCCACTCTCTAATCCTCTGTGGTAGGTGTTAGTCCTGCCCTCTGTCGTGGTCTGATGATTGTCCAGGTCTCTTGCCTTTTCCTAACAGTGACGGCTGTTTAAATGGCATCTCCCCAGTTTCAGGACCTTTCAAATTCTTGATTTTTATGAAGTATTCCCAGACTGAGTATAACAAGGTATTTCTTTTAGCCCGTGGGGGTTCTTCCCCTCTTATTCTGATAATCCGACATACTGAATATTAAAATGATAAGCATGAATCCTGGTGGCATTTTTAATCTCTATTTTCTATAGGCATTTTTTCCTTTTCCACCTTTTCATATTAATGTAGGTTAAAAAAAAAAATCCCTTTTTCTGTTTGTTTTTGTGTGTGTTTCTTGGCGAGAGCTAACTGCATAAAGGTTACTGCTTGGAAGTTCTGCTTCCAGTTACGATGGCTCTGCTGAAAAAAAAAAAGCTTGGGACTGGCTGTGGTGAAGCACAAACCTGCAGCCTTTTCTGAGGGATGAACTTAAGGTATTGGGAGCGAAAGTTGATCTACTGCATAGCTTAAGCTAGGCTGATGACCTCGGAAACGTCGCAGGAGCAGAGGGCGGGGGATGGGGGCGTGGTTGGGTTAGCCCGGACGAGATGCTGCAGGTTCTGTGGATGATCCGTGTATGTCGGAGGAGTGCGGCCTTTCATGGCACGAGCGTCACTTGTTTGGTGGCAACAGTATTTCTTTTTGAGTACCAACTAGTTTAGCTGTTCCTAATGGTGAGGAGTAATTTGTGGATCGTGTGTGGAGGAACAAAACGTGGTCCTGTGGGACACAGGAGACAGACCACATCCCATTATAGTGGGAATGCACAATTTTTTTTTCTTTTCCATACTTTTGCTTCTTAGAAGCCACGTGTTTGGAACACACTTTTAAGATGCATCCACATAATCTTCAAATAGAGGGTTAAATTAGGTTCTCTAAAACTTTGGAATTGTTACTTTACCACAAGCCACAGCCAACTTGTGCTGCAACTCTTGTACGACATCCAGAGACGCAGAATGGGACCTCGGAGGGACCAGTGCCATAGGCCTTAACATGAAGAACTGTCAAAGAGCCCTGATATCCCAGCTTTAATTCGCTTCCAAAAAGTCCTGTGTCCTTGGCAGGAGATGCCATGTTCTCGGTACAGTCTCTCTTCTTCTGCAGCACTGCTGTTGGATTTTGTGTTGTCATACCTGACTAATGAACGCAGCACAGTGCCAGTGAGCCCCGGCAGAGACCTCAGTGTACAACGTGCAGGCTCTATCCAATCTGCCAGCCCAAAGAAGTGACCAACCCGTGACGTGTTTTCTTACTGTTCAGGCTGGGATCACGCCGCGTCAGCGCGGCTGGAGTAGCGTACGCCGGGTGTCCCGTCAGCCGCGGGTGATGCTGTAGGTGCCCGTTACCAGCAGTTTGCGGGTTAGCCAAGAGACCAGCTGGCAGAGCTGAGCTGACCCGGCACTAGCACTGAGCAGCCAGGAGGCTGGCATTTTCATGGGTGGTGCCTGGGGGCAGAAAGAGAAAGGGAGTTCTCCGGGTACTTTCCTTGGTGCTGTGCTACTGCTGTGCAGTCAGCTGGAGGGGGAACTGCTGACCACTGTTGCCTCTAGCTGTTGTGGAGCAGTCCTTGCCAACAGGAAATGATACTGGATTCATTCATTCTTCCTATTTCACTCCTTAAGCCAACGGAGCCCTGATGCTGACCTGTCTTCCTCGACCTGCTCTTAGTTGAGCTGCTAGATTCAGTGAGTGGTGTGTGTGTTCCGTCCAAGACGCTTAACGTGGTGTTTTGTTTGCTTTAAAACTCTTTCTGTAGAGCACGAAGACTTTTTAACAGTAGCAGAATCTCTGAAAAAAGAGTTTGACAGCCCAGAAACGTCAGACCTGAAGTTCCGTGTGGATGGAAAGTACATCCACGTCCACAAAGCTGTTCTGAAAATCAGGTAGTGGTCACGTTTCACAGCTCTTGCTTATACAGAGTAACCTCTTGGTATCGTGTCTAAGGGGCGGGGAGGGAGTAAGGGATGGGGGGGCGTCTCCTAAACTTGCAATGTATAGCAGCTGTGTATGTATCCGTAATCACTTTAAATGAAGTGATTGTAAAAGGAGTTGAATCAAAAATCACAGAATCACAGAATGGTTTGGGTTGGAAGGGACCTTAAAGCCCATCTAGTTCCAACCCCCCTGCCATGGGCAGGGACACCTTCCACTAGACCAGGTTGCTCAAAGCCTCATCCAGCCTGGCCTTGAACACTCCCAGGGATGGGGCATCCACAGCTTCTCTGGGCAACCTGTTCCAGTGCCTCACCTCAGTCTTAAAATGGTCATATTCAGTTTTCACTAAGCCTGTTTGGTGCTCCCAGGAGAAGAGATTCCGTTGTGTCGGGTCTGAGGGCAGCGTATGTGCAGCCGTTTCTGCGGCGCAGAGCGAACAGGAGCCTTAGCTTGGTGCACGAGTAGAACGGTGCCCACAGTACTAGGCACCAAAACGTGGACCGCGGCTGCGATGGGCTGTGGTTTGTGAGCAGCGCGGGGTGCACCAAATACCTCGGGGGACCGTGACGTAATGTTGGGGTGCGCCTGTAATAGCGTTCCAGATGATGTCTTTGTCTCGTAGGTGTGAACACTTCAGGACCATGTTCCAGTCATACTGGAATGAGGATATGAAGGAAGTGATAGAAATAGACCAGTTTTCTTACCCCGTGTATCGTGCCTTTCTCGAGTACTTGTATACAGACAGTGTTGACCTGCCGCCGGAAGATGCAATAGGTATTGCTTATGGTCCAGTTACGTCGGAAAGCAGCAGCCAGAAAAACCGAGGCAGGGGATGCAGAACAAACGTGTTAATACTGGCTTCTAGTCCAGCCAACGATGGGTTTTGCTGGCGATGAATTAAGCTGTCTTTAAAATGCTGTGGCAAGTTTGCTACAGATGTAAAAGTGGTGCATGTTCAGAAATAAAGCTGCAGGCAGTTTTTTTCGAGGTTGGGAGAGAAGCTGTTTCTCTGGGTTAAAATGCATGCATGCTTTACTAAATCGAGTCAGTCATTGTTTAGGATAACAGGAAAGAATCTCAGTAGCTCTGATAGGAGCAGCTTGGACAGCAGAGCAAGCTGTCATCCCAGCACAGGTTTTCGCAGAGGTAGCTTTCTGCCGGTGTTGTGGCGCCTGTTTTGGGACAGTTCCACTCTTGCAAGCCCTTCGCTCTGCAGATCAGTGGAACGGCTTGCGTATTTCCTTAGAGATTAACGGGATTGCAGCCTGAGGTGATCAAAGGCCTTTCTTCCCGCATAATGGAAATACGCATTTTTCTGAATCGTGACCTACTTGCAAAGAGCACGTGTTAGAGGAACAGCACATAGAATACAGGTTCATACGCTGTTGTGGGAAGAGCATTGCAACTCACTAATACAGAGGCATTCTGATTGCAGGACTTTTGGATTTGGCTACTTCGTACTGTGAAAACAGACTGAAGAAACTGTGTCAGCACATTATCAAGAGAGGAATTACCGTGGAAAACGCGTTTTCGTTGCTCTCTGCTGCTGTCAGATACGATGCAGAGGTAAACTTCTAAACTTCAGTCTCTTAAACAGGCGGCTGCTTTCTGACTTAGACTGTGGATATAAGCAGCCGGGTTTATTTTCATATAAACGCTCTCTCACTGTCAGATGATACTGTTTGCCATTTTCCGGGTTTGAGAACGTTGGACTCTGTATTTGCTCTGAGATGTGTCTTCCTCCCCGCCCCCCATAAACCAGTGCCGGGAAGGTGAACGAGTAGAGAGGGAGCTGAAGATGACTGAAGTCCCAGGCTGAGCCTCGGTATCTGTCAGAGTTTGCTTTGCTTCGTTTCACCATGAAAGGTTATGACCCTGTGCCAGGCTTCACAGGTTACTACCCTGGGGGGTGCTTGGGAACCGTAACAAACATTTTCTGAGGATGAAAACACTAACTCTGAAAGAAGGGAAGAGTTTAAACTCAAAGCCAAAATCGTAACGCTCCGAGCAGCCTTGTAAGCCTTAAGTTACTTATTTGTAAGGCTGTGCGTTGTGTGTGATGTTATGCGGTGGTAGGTTTGGGGATTGAGTACGCTTGGGGTTGGTTTTGTTGGCGGGGTACTTAGTTGGCTGTTTTGGGGTTTTTTTTTTAGCTAAGGTCAAATACTAACACTAATGAAATGCCAGGATAGACCTTCTTTCATGGGCTTAATAAATTTTGAAGACAGAGAAGGTGTGTGCAAAGGAGGGAAGGCTAGCGAAACTTTCCTGCTGCGTAACTCTGTGGTTCCACTACTGGAGCGCTGACGTGCTGCTTCCCGAACTAATCAGGAAGTACTGCTGGGCTTGCTTCGGCCGTTTGAGTTGGGCACAGGATCCGTGCATGACGTTTGCTACTTTGCAGTTGGTTAGTTTTTAAACTTGCTCCTTAGGCTTGTAACGCGGTTTTGGTACTCTGTAAATCAACTCCTTGCTTTCGTACGTAACCCCCAGCGAGCGGCATGCAGGCGCCCCGGCTGATTTCAGAGCCTTGTGGTGCGCTGCTCGGTGGATACACCTTACCCCAGGGGCTGCTTCAGCGTCTGAAGTGCGGCTTCAGCTCTGCTTGGAATGATGATTTCTTTGGTGGGAGCTCATGGGAAATGGGAAGTTGTCCATATTTTAGCCTTGAAAGATGGTTCGCAGGATGGGTCTTCAGTGTGCGATTGATTCCGCTTGTACAGGGCTGCAGAAATCCAGTTACTGTGCCTTGGCTGTCCCTCAGTAGCTAAGTGAAGGTAGGACTGCAGAGTGGGTGACGCTGATGGCTTGGGTTTCAGAAAAACTGGGGTTTACATGCAGTAATTCTAGACAGGGGCTTGAAATTGCTTGGGGGAGGGAGTTAACTCAAGGGACTCTGCGTGTGGGAGGGCAGCAGTTAAAAAGCTGCTTCACTAATTTGAAATCATAGAATCACAGAATGGTTTGGGTTGGAAGGGACCTTAAAGACCATCTAGTTCCAACCCCCCTGCCATGGGCAGGGACACCTTCCACTAGACCAGGTTGCTCCAAGCCTCATCCAGCCTGGCCTTGGACACTTCCAGGGATGGGGCATCCACAGCTTCTCTGGGCAACCTGTGCCAGTGCCTCACCACCCTCTCCATGAAGAATTTCTTCCTGATATCCAATCTAAACCTCCCCACTTTCATTTTAAACCCGTTACCCCTTGTCCTGTCACTACAGGCCCTTGTAAAAAGTCCCCCCCAGCTTCCTTGTAGCCCCTTCAGGTACTGGAAGGTGCTATAAGGTCTCCCCGGAGCCTTCTCTTCTCCAGGCTGAACAAGCCCAACTCTCTCAGCCTGTCCCCATAGCAGAGGGGCTCCAGCCCTCTGAGCATCTTCATGGCCTCCTCTGGACTCGCTCCAACCGGAAGGATATAGATCCTTCCGATGTTGAGGGCTCCACAGCTGGGAATACCTCCGTGGCTTGAAACTCTCCTATACTTTCTTCTGGTGACTGACTGGATTGAAGTGGCTAAAATTAGGTCAGGTCGGGCCTCTTACGGTGACTTTTAAAATAATCATTGGATGTACCGTGTGCCTTTATTCACATCCACATAAGGACGGTTTGCGGGGGGCGCATCCGCCTGCAAATGAAACTCGGCCTCTTTTTATACTGCAAATTTTCTGAAGTTAGTTGCAGTACAGTATTTCTGCTTATTGTATGCTTCTGTTGCATTGACTTGGAATGTGAATTTTTTAATAAAGCAGTGCAAAATACTGTCACGTGTACGATGTAATTTTGTTTAAAATTCTAGTTCTGTTATTTTAAAAGAAAACCCTCAGTGTTCGGTTCTAATAAGCTTGTCTTTTTTCATTGCACAGATGCCACACAAGTCAAGATCTGCAGCTTCAGAATGCCTGGTTTTAGGCCAGGTTATATGTTTGCATTATTGTTGTGTGAAGAATGCTCACTGGCACGCAGCTTCTCTAGCTTTCAGTGTTAACCTTAAGCGAAAACAGGAATTTTAATCATTCTTTCATACCCCATGTGGCTTAAAGAGCTCTGCCCATTTGTTACGCCTGACTGCAGCGCCCAGTCTGCTGAGCAGCTGAGGAGGGGTGTGCTCTCGCCCACAGAGTACCAGTTCCGCACACTGGAATTGGAACAGGGCGGGAATCGCTGTTTCCTAAAGGCTGCAGCATCCTTATGGCAGCTTTGGTCTGCGCCACAAAGGGGAGATTTCCTCCTCAAAAGAGGAGTTGGAAACAAGTAGCCGGAGTGGGAAGCGTTCCATGGTCAACATTCTCTTGGCAATGCCTGTCTCCTCTGGGTTTTTTAGACATCCTGTCTCCCTGGCATCCTGCGGGTACGATGATGCTTGGCTTTCTAATCCTTAAACAGAAGGCACTTCCCAGTAGACTGGAAAATGCAGAGGCCACTTTCTGCAAGAATCCTTAGGCTGCCCTGTGCCACAGTGCATTTTTTTGAACTGTTTTTGGGATGTCTGGAATGCTTTGTAACGCGAGTCCGTTCCTGACGCACGGCCAGGCCTTCTGCCTAAACTGGCCTCCAGAGCTCGGCCCGCGGTTTGCACGCCCGTTGAGCCTGGTGACACGCGGCTTCAGTGAAGCCTTTAACTCAGCAGGGAGTCACGCCAGCCTCGCCTGTGGATCCGAGTTTATATCCGGGAAATAAAGGGCGGAATTTTCTTAGCCTTGGTTACCTGTCCTTACCCCAGGCTCTCCAGTTTGTGTTGGGTTTGGAGTCAGATGAAACGCTTCAAGTGGGAAAACTTAAATAGGGAGTGCTCAGAACAGCTGATTTTTTTGTGACTGCAACTCTGTAGTAAGAACCAAATTATAGTTCCTTTTCCCTTTGTGACTGTGTCATGGGGGTAGAATTACTCTTTTCTGTCGCATTTACATGGTGCCCATGTGGGGAAAAACATTTGAGAGCCACTGGGTTAATGCGTTTGTCCAGTTCTCTGAAAAAACAAAGCATGGACAGGCATTTGTGCCTAAACGCAATTTTCTGTTATGGAAGCAGAAATAATTAGATCTTTTTTTCTTTCTTTTTCCCCTTGGTTTAGGACTTGGAGGAATTCTGCTTCAAGTTTTGTGTCAATCATTTGACGGAAGTGACACAAACGACAGCGTTCTGGCAGATGGACGGTCCCCTGCTGAAGGAATTCATTGCTAAAGCCAGTAAATGCGGAGCCTTCAAGAACTGAACTGAGGCGGTGAGTTAGGGGTTGCTGCAGGTCCAAAAGGACGTTGTAACCGTACGGGTAAAAGCGAGCGTCACCTGGTTTCTTGTACTGGCTGTGAAAGGCCACAGGGAAAACAAGTGAGCTCAAGTGAACTGTTGTAACGGTGTCGAGCAGAATACTCACTGGCAGTTAGCAAACCTGGATTGCGGAACCAGCTGGGGGTTTGCTGCCGTGTCAAGGACTGGAAATCTCAGTTAGGAGATCTAGGAACGTTAGGAAATCTCAGTTCTAGCACCACCTGTTGATATTTTCCATTTACTCTTTGGGCTTGGAGAAGAGTCTGCCCTGAGGCACCGGATGACCTCACTTAAACCATGAACTCCCTGGGATCACGGAGGAGCGGATGGCACGGATTTGCATGAATTTGCCATTTGCTGCGTGGATCTGGTGCGTAGGGAAGCGGGCAGAAATGGTACGTCCTCAAAGCCTGCGCAGGTGACTTTGACAAGAGGGGTGGCTAGCAAATCTGATTGGAAGCAAATCTCTATATTGGGGTATACATACACACCTTACTATGATTTGTAACGTACTCTGTGTAATCTGTTCAAGCAGTACGTGTAACGGTTAATGGAAAAAATACCCTCTTTGGTGACTTCAGGTTCCATTGGCTCCCTTGGAGGGGAAGGGATACGCTGTTCTGAAAGTGGGGGGTTAAGTGTTATATAAATTTAAACCACATGTAATAAAATTCAACTTTTGTACCTGTTCACTAGTGAACTTCTTTAGACCCGAAGAAAATGGCAAGCTTCTTGTCCTTACGTACAACAAGTTGGTTTAGTTTAAAAACCAAAGGAAAACACCACCAAAAACCGAAGCCCAAACCCAGCCCGCTCTGTGTATTGCTGAATCTTACCGCCTTCACTGTGCTTGACAAATACCTGTGATCTCAGTGCCACAAAGTGCTGGGGTTATGACTTTGCTCAGCTTTGCACAGCCTTGAACTTTGATCTCAGTGCCACAGAGTGTTGGGGTTGACTTCGCTCAGCTTTGCACAGCCTTGAACTTCGTGTTGGTGACAGGGGGCCCAGGGAGCTGCTGTAGCGTGACCTTGGGAGTTCAGTCTTGGGATAGTCTGGCAAAATGCTTCCAAACAGGTCACAAATGTGCCGGATAAAGAACTTGGTTTGGATTGCAAACTCCAGACTAAAGGTCCGGCCTGGGGAGGGCATGTCAGCGGAGGACAGGGCTAAGCTGTGCTGAAGCCTGTCTGTAACGGAGGGCTGCAGCAGGGATAAAGCTCACATCAGCTCATGTATCTTTCCTGGGACAGTGGGTCAGCATCTCTCTTTGTTCCCTAATGCTGGATAAATCCACGTTAACACACTTCTGTGTTAGCTGGGAGTTTTCTAGGCAGAACAGCGATGAGTGGCACTGGACTGCTTGGCTCAGGCAGCAAACTGGTGGTATATCTTTCCCGTGACAGTGGGTCAGCATCTCTTTGTTCCCTAATGCTGCATAAATCCACGTTAACACACTTTTGTGTTAGCTGAGTTTTCTACAGCGATGAGTGGCACTGGACTACTTGGCTCAGGCAGCAAACTGGTGGTGTTCCTAGGCCCAGACAACCAGCAGGCCTGAACTGGGCAAGCAAGGGCAAACCCGAGTGTGCTGTTCTGCAAGTGTTTGTTGTGTTTGTTGTGTTTGTTCAATCTCTGCCTTCATATGGAACAAGGCCAAGTTAGGAACTTTCAGTAGCCAGGGAGAGAGCCCAACTGTTCAGGGGCTGGTGCTGCAGCCTGTCACTGGTCCTGCTCTGCTTGCTCCGGAGAGGCAAGGAGTAGTGAAACTGCAGTGTGACAGCACGCCCCTCCCTGGCCACAGCCCATGCAGCGTGACTGAGTACACAGCCTTCTTAAAAACAATTTATTAACCTACCCTTATATAGCTAAACAACGCTTTTCTGTGGTCAAACGGGCTTAAGACAAAACACAAGGAAGTCATATCCTTTCTTAACGAAGAAAGGAAGATAGTCCACTGTCTGATCCACTCTTCGATCGTACCTGTTGTTTAGAGTGTGCTGCCCCACCGTTCCAGCCTGCCTGCAAACACTGTTTCGCCACTGCTGTTGCAGCAGAACTAGTTAGACGTTAAGCACTCAATTAAGAATCCTCTCATTAAAAAAAGTCCCAAACTCCAGTTCGTAAATCAGAAGGCTTCTTGGAGTGCAAGTTCTGCTAATTTCTCTTTGGAAAGCCGAAGCAGCAATGCAGTCCTTAAAACGTCACTGTCTCGCTGCACAGCACAGTCAGAAAAGGGCTCCCACAGGTGAAGTGACTTCAGCGTGTGCTGGGGCAGCCAACGCTGCCTTAGCTTGGAGAGAAAAAGTCTTCATGAGGGTTTTGTTCAGCTTTAAGAAAAGCTGAGTTGGGTGTGTAACACTCACTGACCCACAGCAGAGTTTAAAGAACGGGACAACTTAAAATTATAGCAACAGTGAGGTATAAAAATGAGTAAAACACCTGGTTCTTGCCTGCGTCCCTCACTGGGGGTGGGGGACTGATTTGGACGTGAACCAGGCATGCTGTAGCACTGGGAAATCCTAAATACTGGCACCATTACAGACAGACCTGGGGGTTATTCAGACACTGTACTGGATGTACTAGCAGTGTTCTCTTGGGCAGGAAGGGTGACTTCTTTTAAGTCCTGCAGTAGCTCAATCTTGTTATCCAGTCTTTTTCTGCTTTCCAGAAGCTCCTGGATTTTTTCCTCTGTTCCTGTGATGAAGAAAATAAAACCTTGAATTCCGACATAACTATTAGTTTAAAACACACGTTAATAGAATCACAGAACGGTTTGGGTTGGAAGGGACCTTAAAGACCATCCAGTTCCAACCCCCCTGCCATGGGCAGGGACACCTTCCACTAGACCAGGTTGCTCAAAGCCTCATCCAGCCTGGCCTTGAACACTTCCAGGGATGGGGCATCCACATGTTACAGATGCATTAACACCACAGAGGCTGAAAGCTTCACCGCCAACAAAAGCTCTGCCGTTGCGCAGCGCAGCCTTTCGCCTGCCGCCCTGCACGCCCGGTCTCTTCAGTCAGAGGTGGACTGTGTGCTGCAGGAGAGGCGAGCCCAAGTATCGCAGCGCCAGAAGGAACCACAGAGCCGTAGGCTTACACACCTGGGCACCCCTGTGCTGTACTCTCAGACCAGCTACGTTACCGACTTGATGTAAACCACGTCAGAGTTCAGATTTCAGTACGGAGCAACGAGTGTTTCTGTACAACCCTTTGGCTTTCTGCCTGCCCCCATTTCTTCCTCTTGGTTCAGAAAGCCCCCTGCGGCTGCTGCATGTGCACACAGAGGATGATGTACGCGCACACACTCCAGCTGTGGAGCCCTCAACATCAGAAGGATATTGACCAGTTGGAGCGAGTCCAGAGGAGGCCACGAAGATGCTCAGAGGGCTGGAGCCCCTCTGCTATGGGGACAGGCTGAGAGAGTTGGGCTTGTTCAGCCTGGAGAAGAGAAGGCTCCGGGGAGGCCTTATAGCACCTTCCAGTACCTGAAGGGGCTACAAGGAAGCTGGGGGGGCCTTTTTACAAGGGCCTGTAGTGACAGGACAAAGGGTAACGGGTTTAAATTGAAAGTGGGCAGGTTTAGATTAGATATCAGGAAGAAATACTTCCTGGAGAGGGTGGTGAGGCACTGGCACAGGTTGCCCAGAGAAGCTGTGGATGCCCCATCCCTGGGAGTGTTCAAGGCCAGGCTGGATGAGGCTTTGAGCAACCTGGTCTAGTGGAAGGTGTCCCTGCCGATGGCAGGGGGGTTGGAACTAGATGGTCCTGAAGGGCCATCCAACCCAAACCATTCCATGATTCCCTTTTCACAAGGATAAATCAAAGCAGAAGTTGGAGCAAGGTGCTGACTGTCAGAGAGGGAAAAGGGAGCAAGAGACTTGCCAGTCAGAAAAACTGTTTGAACCCTGTTGCTTGCAACAGCTGAGAAAGGAGCCCGGGCTCCAGAGCTCCCAAGCAACTGCTCCTTGTTTTCATTTCACTCCCAGCGTGCTTGGCTTGTTTGTTACAATCACCATCGTTCTGCCTTTAGTGCTTCAAGCTCTTCACTGACACACAGCAGCCAGTCGCTCTGAAGGGCATTCGCCAGAAAGGAGCAGAGCTGTAACGCCCAGGAGCTGCCAAAGGGAGGCTGCGGAGAGGGAACAACCTGCAGAAAACGGAAAGCACCCTGCAGGGGGAGAAGTTCCTCTGGGGCAGAGACCCTCTGGTCTTTTAAAGCTGTTGTTGCCCTTCAGGCCAGCCAGGACAGGCTGTATTTGTAAAGATTCAGGCAGCAATGGCTTCTATTAAATTATTTATATAATGTTAAGAAAATATGTTCCTTGGAATTTTCATTTTAAACAGTCATTTCTCAAAATGCTCAGAAGAACAACCTCAAGGCCAAACCCGTAGCAACTGCTGCTGCTCCGACAGCTTATTTCACATACCTGAATGAACGTTTGTCAGTATGTTTTCAAACAGTCTGCAGTCAAAGAGCGACATCACCGTCTCTTCGTACTCTGGGGAAAGAGGCAACTTAGTATTACAGAGTAAAGGCTTACAGAACCCTCACCTTAATGTGGAGCCCTACATTAGGGGCTTCAGTACCTGAAGGAGCCTACAGGGAAGCTGGGGGGGACTTTTTACAAGGGCCTGTAGTGACAGGACAAGGGGGAACGGGTTCAAATTGAAAGTGGGGAGGTTTAGATTAGATATCAGGAAGAAATTCTTCCTGGAGAGGGTGGTGAGGCACTGGAACAGGTTGCCCAGAGAAGCTGTGGATGCCCCATCCCTGGAAGGGTTCAAGGCCAAGCTGGATGAGGCTTTGAGCAACCTGGTCTAGTGGAAGGTGTCCCTGCCCATGGCAGGGGGGTTGGAACTAGATGGTCTTTAAGGTCCCTTCCAGCCCAAATTATTCTGTGATTCTATGATTAGGAGCAGCACAAAACAGTAGTTGCTTATTTTATATCATACCAATTGCTGGAGGTTTTCAGATGTCCTTCCTTCTCATACAATCTACACTGAGAAAGAAGGATGGATTTGTCAGTCTGACCACACCGATTCCTCTTGACAGATCATGTGGGACAGTGCTATTGCCACTCAATGGTAAAAACCAACCCAGAATGATGCCTCAATTTCATAACGCGAGGCTTTCGGAGAAACAAAACAGTGTTGTGGCAAAAGGAACATCAGAGTGGAATCCTCCAAGAATGAGTGCTTCATACAAACTGCTATTTTAACCCACAAAATCCCCAAAACCACACTAACGGTTGGCAATAAAGTTCTAGCTAATCATCCAAAGACTTAAAATGGATATACTCATGGATTTTTCCCTCAAAAGAGTGTGGATACAAACAGACAGCTGGTCCCTCTGTGAAAGTGCAAGAACAGAGATTATAACCCAAATAAAACCTGCTGGTTCTCGTCAGGACCACTGTCTCCCTCAGCGCCTGGGAGACATGGTCAGGCACAACCTCCCCATGCTTATGCCAACGGATACCAGGCAGCTTCAGAAATGCAAAGCCAGGCAGCCTTACTACAGCTGGCAGCTCTGCCCCTCTACTGACACGGGCATTCTCCAAAACCTCGCTCTCCACCTGGAGTGCAGTGGCAGAAACAAGGCAGGGCCCAGCTACTGAGCACTCAGGGCATCCCCCGGAAGGTGACCCAGGGCCGAGCACCTGGCATTTGGATCTGCATTTCTGCCCTGAAAGTGGAGTCTCCCGTGGGTCTCCATACCTGTTTCTGAAGTGTTGTCATCCATCAGTTTTTCCTGTGCCAGGTGAAGCGTGTCCAGCATTTCTTCAAATATGTCATCCAGAAGCCCGGCTTGCTTGCATTTCCTAAGGAAGTCTATTCGGACTGGTAAAACACAAGAACACACTCTTACACAGAAATCATCTGTAAAGGGGGCTTTGTTCCCTTCAGAAAGAAAACTTTGGCTGAAGCCTCCCTTCCAGTAACAAATACTTATACAAATCTCCAGCTCCTCCAGCTACTCACTGGGCCCTTTTCAGTGGGAACATGAACGTGGTCAGGACACGTAAACATTGTGCTAGGTGTAAAATCACCTAAGCTCTAGGGGCTTGGCTTCATCCACCAAAAGCAAGTATCTCCTAAGTGCACCCTTCCTAAATCCTCCTGATAGCCCCTAGTATAGGAAAGCACGTGATTTGTCTTGCTTTTTATCTTTCTTCCAATTCTCGGGACCACAGCATGGACTGAACAGGCTAAAGGATAGAAAACAGCTCCAGAAGCAAATCAGTATTGGATTTGGGATGGAAATTAAGGCTACTTTTACTGCAAGTGACCCAGGCATTAAACATGCTTAGTACAGCCCATTTTATACACCAACTTGGTCAGATTTGGATTGCTGCGGAGATAACTACCTATTTTTTCTTCATTTCAGAGCAGCAGGTCAGTGCCAGGTTCCAGTAAGATGAAAGGGGTGTTCAAAAGGAACAGGGACAGCTCAGGGAAGTCTGCCAGTCTCCATGAAAAAACAATGTTCCTTTTCACTGGAGACATTTCTGAGAATAAAAACATGGTTTCACTTAAACTACAAGTATTCCAGGACACTCTGTAGGTTCCCTGTTCTTCATACTGGTAGTAAAAATTTAGGAAAACCATTAGGCAGACACCTACTGTTACAATACCCTGCCCATGTACTAAGCATAGCCATTGGAAGGTGAATTATCACCACTAAGGCCTTCCAAGTGACAGCAGAATCCTGACAAGCAGTTCCAGCAGGATTTTTGGGGTAATATGAAAGCTGCAGAACTGAAGGATGGGTCCAGTGCTTTATTTCACTGTTGTAATAGCATAGAGTCACAGAGTGGTTTGGGTTGGAAGGGACCTAAAAGCCCATCCAGTTCCACCCCCCCTGCCATGGGCAGGGACCCCTTCCACTAGACCAGGTTGCTCAAAGCCTCATCCAGCCTGGCCTTGAACACTCCCAGGGATGGGGCATCCCCAGCTTCTCTGGGCAACCTGTGCCAGTGCCTCACCACCCTCTCCGGGAAGAATTTCTTCCTGATACCCGATCTAAACCTCCCCACTTTCAATTTAAACCCGTTACCCCTTGTCCTGTCACTACAGGCCCTGGTAAAAAGTCCCCTCCCAGCTTCATTGTAGGCTGCAATAAGGTCTCCCTGGAGCCTTCTCTCCTCCAGGCTAAACAAGCCCAATTCTTGCAGCCTTTCATCACAGGAGAGGTGCACCAGCCCCCTGAGCATCTTCATGACTTCCTCTGAACTCACACCAACTGGTCCATGTCCTACCATCTCTCTGCAGTAAAAGACTCCATTAAGCCCCCTGTGCAGGCCTAGGGTCCAAAATAACATAACCATGCAGTGGCAGCAGTAAGCAGCAGCATTCAGCAAGCCCCATTCCTACCCAGTGTGCTAGAGCTCCTGCAATGGTGAGCTGAACGCCCCTCTCCCCGGGTCACTGCTCAAGCTCTGCTCCTCACAGCACCTCCTCTGCTAACCCACCCCAGGGCACCCCACTCCTTCCAGAGTGGGGGGGTGGGGTGGGTGTCAGCGCAAGGAGACAGAGATGAAGGAGAAATGACTCCATGCTATGTTTAAATGTACTGATAGGGGGGAGGCAAAGGGGGTGAGGGAGAGGCACCCCTGTTTACTGGAGACACAGCGGCCAGCCAGAGCAGAGGCATTCCAAAAATCCCAGGTGAATTCACCGTCTCGCCTCACACAGCAAGTCTGGTCCAAAGCACGGAGATTTGTTTGCTGCACAATTATTAAAACCTGCAGAGTCACTCTGCAGATCAGACTGCTGCTCCCTCGCCAGAGCCTGGAGAGTCACTTGTCTCAGGAGGATGATAAGGATACAGCACCACCACTACCAAACATCTCCAAGCGCTCAACTTCAGCGTAACAGATCCCAGGATCTCCCAGTTGTTGCATAAAGCAAGTCGCACCTTTGTGGCTGTTGTTTTTCCTTTTTAGTATTTGTAAACCGTTTTCTTCTGCTGTCTCTTCTGTGCTCTGTAAGAGAATCAAAAACGTATTTTTACTGACACTGCTCTGCTTTCATTATCTTACCTCTGTATTAGCAAAAAGATAAAAAGCAACCCAGATTTCCGGAAATACAGTCAGCTTCTCTGCCCAGCTAATGATATTTCTCCCCAGACATTCAGTTCTTTATGAAAACCGGCAAGAACTGCTCCAAAGCACAACCCTAAAAAAAGCCCAACGCTTGGGGCACCAGCCTCCTTAATTAGTGCATATGCAAATAGCACTGATGTTGGTAAACGCTTACTGCTGATTCCCAGCGCAAAGAGCGTTGGGTTCCCTAGACCAGATGTGACACTAGAAAGGATTTGAGAGGGGAGGGGGAATGTTTTCCTTTTCCTTTGGATGGGACGCGGTCATTCTCCGCTGTTCCACGCCATCCCACAGTAATACAAATAACGAAGCTCCACCACAACGCTCCGCCTGTGTAAAAATGCATTGCTTCCACAAAGGTAAACAATCTATCCTAGGCGGATAAATCCTGGAGCTCCCCAACTTGTCATCTGCAGCATTTGGATTGACTGCCGAGGTCACTAGCAGCGGAAATGGCACATTACCATGCGTAACAGGTCACATGAGTCTCGGTTCTAACAGCAGGCACGTAAGCGGATTTACAGCGGAGAAATTCTTGGAGAGAAGCCACCTACTCTTACGGGAGTACTACGAAAAAGCTGCTGGGATCACCCACATCCCCTCACTTAACCTCCCTTTAACCTCAAGGCCTGGGAAAGGCAGAAGTTTTTTCCCAAGGAATGCTGGATGCTAATTCCTCTAGAAAGGAGAAATCCCAACACTCCTGCCAAGAGTCAATGGGAGTTTCATTGCATACTTTCGTGGAGCCAAGAGAATTGCTTCCAAACTTAAGATACGCTGTATTTACAGGTTTTCTAACAACAGCCTCTAAAACATCTCCCCCTGCAACCAGAGGGATGCTCTGCTCCTTAGCTCCAAACCCTCAGGAAGGCTCATCCTCATCGGCACAGCTAAGAATGGCCTGATCTGCCGGGAAGATCTGCCACATCTACCGTGAGCACAGGCTCACAAACGAGCGAGTGCTTGTTTAAAAGGCCAAGTGACTCATCGAAAGCAGCTTTTCCTGTAAACTGTGTCAAGCCCTGAGCAAATCCGAGGGCCGCAGTACTTCCAAAGAAAAGGAATCCCTTTCTGGTCATGTCAAGGTCACAGCCACTGAGTCAGCCTGTTTCAGAGGTTCCTATGGCGCCTGTGCCACGTTACAGTTTTGTTTGGCGGAACAACAGGATCAAACCAAGGCAGCTGTAAATAAGAAGTTCCTGCTTCGCCGAGGAAGTCTCTTTCTGAATACACTGCCACCACACTTCACTGAAGAAGCCCTTTGCTGTAGCAGATGTGGATTCCTGTTTTAGAATCACTTCGAACCACTTAAAATTCAAAATTACCATTTGTTCCGTGACGGTGGAAGATTTCAACCCAAGTCTTCTCCTCTTACTAGCTGCATCTAGGAATCGAGAAACAACAAATGTGTCAAGCTCGGACTGATGATTTCACATCATTCAAATACTCTCTTTACCCAAAATGCTACAGGAGTGAGGCGCTTCGGGTGGCAAGGCAAGAGTACATTTTAGCTTCCCCAAATACCCGAGGTTTCAGTGGGATTCATGTTATTTCCATTTAAGAAAAATTACAAGCCTGAATCGTTAGGAAGAAGTGCAAATCACTGTAGCGTTGATATCACTTCTCCTTTCAAACTCAGTATAAAGCAAACCCCAGTTTTTAACGTAACATTTTTGATTGTGGCTGAGTGAACAACTTCTCCCCAGCAGCGACACTGCCTCTGGCTGGTAAAAACTTCAGGCAAATTTATGAAAGATGACTGGGTTTTTTTCAGTCCATTCTTGTTTATGTCAATACACCCTCAAAACTAAGATTACATAAAGAATTTAGGTGTCCCAAAGACACACAAGTGGCATTAGGTTTTTCATCGATATAACGACCCTCCCAGAAAGCCTCCTGAAGCAATTTAACTCGTTAAATTAATATTATTCACACTACAAAAGTGTTTTTAGTGACATGGTGTGAGATCTCTGCAAAACCATCTGCTTTCCCTCCATCCTCTCTATCAGCACGCACCAGCCTCTCCCCCACGTTGTTAGGGGCAGCCACCGAGAACAGCTACAGCGTCACAAGCAGGGGACAACCCTGGCAAGGAAGACACGGCAGGAGCAGAGAAAGCTAAAGAAGAGTTCAACCACCCACCAAAACCTGAGGGCTTTAAATGCAGTGGGGTGACACACCCCCTTCCCACTTAACTCTACCTCTGCTGGGCAGCACTTAGCAAGGGTTTTCCTGTTAGAAATCCTATTAAGAGGAATGAGGAGCTACTGTCGGTGCAGGAAGGCAGTTGAAACAAGTTTGGGGTTTGGGCACCCTTCTTTGAGTATGGGGCTGTAAATGTGTATTTTTCGTGGCCTGAAAGGAAATCATAGCTTCTCACTTCATCCAAAATAAAGCTGGGTGGCTTAATTCGGAGCAGTTTAGGAGATGCTGGTGTAGACACAGTGTTTCTTGCAGTCTAGCAGGATATATTTGATCTGTGGTAGGATTTTCTCAGCTCTTCCTCATGTTTGTTTTAGGGATGCCTTATAAAACAAGAGGAACACAGTCCCAAGAGCAGCCCAACTCTTCCTGCTCTCTGCAGAGTTCTCTGCTCTTCTACGTTTGTCAGTCTTTACTCTGGGCACATCCAAGGTCCCCAGATAAGCAGAGGTTGGAGCCTGTTTCCAAGCCCAAACTGCCCTCCCATCCCTGCTGCACAGAGCTGCAAGGAGACCTCTTGGCCCCTAAGGCACCCTGTCCCCTTCCAACCACACAGCAGAGCCCTGACACTTCAGCACAGGAATGTTGTCCAGACCAAGAACAAGGAGATGTTCCTTGATTCCATTTTCTCCAAGCTACAGGGGGAGAAAAACAGGTCTGGAGAGGCATCCCTTTTGTACCAGCTCCTGCTCCCAGGTCACTCCAGGAGAACAGAGGAGCTACTTCACCTGAATTGGAGTCTGAAAGCCAAAACTCTATCACGGAGCCACAGCGCTTCCACCCCAGCCCTGGCTATTCCAAGTGCTACACTTGCATCCGAGAGCTGCTCAGAGGCAGGAGGCATTGGGATGGGGAACCACGTGTCATTTACCCAACTCTCACAGCTGCTCCTCACCACCTGGGGTACAGCTACTCTCAGACTGGGGTGGGAGAAGCTCATTCAGGAGGCAGGGCAGACCCTGCCAGCAGAACCCATTTACAGGGGGTAAACAAACTGAGGATCTCCAAAGGAAGTGCCTCTGGAAGATCTACTCCAGGAGAAAACTCAGGGAACAGGCCGCACATTGTATATGCGGCACTTGAAGACACCAAGACCTTCAACCTCGTAAGATTCAAGCCTTCCTTATGAAAAAGGTGTTCTACAGGGCTGGGCCTAATGCCTTAATCTCATCTCATACCGGAGACAAAGCAGTCCTGGCCCTGTCTAGTTCCTGGGCAGGAGACCACTGGGGACCCCAGACAGACCCAACAGACTGACAGCCATCAGACCACAGAAATCAAATTAAGTTTTAAAAAGGGAGGGGATGTCAGGCCTCAAAGTTGTGTGGATAAACAAAAAGCAAAAGTACTAAGTGAAATAAGAAGCTGCATTTGGTTAGTGAACCACAGCAAGATCAGGTGTTAAACGGAATGCGTGTCTGGCTAAGAAGCCCCAGACTCCACGACTGGAAGTTTAAATGATAATCACCTAACCCACCCCTTGAGTGGCACCAGGGAGGAGCCAGACTTCGTCAGGATTAGCCCAAGTTGGCTTGACTTCAGTGGGAGCACACCGCTCGGCATCAGCGCTCACAGTCCGGTTCAGCCTCTGCTTTGAAGTTAAGCCACTCTAGGACCCACGTTTGAGCAGGACTGCATGCAATAGATTAACAAAGTCACAGCTTTGGTTAATTTGGCCAGCTTCCCAACTACCTCAGCATCAGCCAGGACCAGGACTGCCAAATCAAGCTGCATTTCTGCAGCAAAGGAAGCAATCCTCAAACAGGGCTCATCTCACCCTTTTTTTTTTTTCTTCACTTAAAAAGCTCTTTGGGATCCTTCAGAATGAAAGGCCCTATTTAAAAAACAACTGCTGTGAATACAGAAGATGCAAATGACAACGTTTTAACGTAACTACAGATAAAAACCCCAAGGTGACCACTCCTGTAACAGCCCTCGCTCTGCTGATCAATTGTAAGCTTGTGCATCACTCGTTAGCATGACTCTCCTGTCTCACATAGAATTTTACAAGCTGCTTGGGCCTATCTGCCTGCGTCGAGTCAGAATAATTCCATGAAGGATCAGGTCTACAGCATTTTAAGTCAGTTTTGAGGAACGTTCAGGGAAGATCAAATATAAACATTTCCTACTTCAAAAAAACTTCTCGATTTTTGTGCATACACACGGATCTCAACCAAACCCCTCCAGCAAAAATAGAAACCCACCGCTCAGTTATGAAGGTGAGGTAACATCTATTTTGTTCAAATGAGTTATTGACTGTAGGATGCAAACCTTTACAACAAATGAAATCAATGAAGACATTAAAGAAACTCACCATAGTGATTGGTCCTATTGCCTGGGTCATGTTTTGGGCAGAACACTCTAAAATTTAAGTTCAGTTTTAAGAAAAAGAGAAAAAGTATTAATAAATATGTAAACAGAGTTATGCTGACTGATTTTAACAGATATTTCCCCCTCTTTTCATTGAATGTAAACTGAAAGACACTTAAAAAACCTCAACAGGATTCTTGTTCGGCATTACCCACCTAGGAAAGTACCTGCTGTAAAGGCACATACAGGCACAAGCTTGTGCTTGTACTCTCAGAGCCCCAGTGGACTCCGAACACTAAAGTTCTGAATTATCATTTCCATCACCCCTCTCTCTTTGGACTTGCTCACTGTTCGAATCCCGGGTCAGACGCGTTTCATCCGGTGTGGCGATCGCTGTGGCAGAGGTACTCCTACTGAAATGCCTCATTGAAGGGAGAGCCACCGCTGTCAGGGTGAAATACCACAGTACTACAACTGCTTACCAGTCAGCTTGAATTTACAAGCCCTGCAAGATGTGCCGGCACTGCCATGCACAGTACCAGCCACTGGTCTGGAGATCCCTGCGCCCCTTCCCTTCTACTGCCCCATGCTGCTGAGGTGGTTCCCAAATCCTGAGGGCACTCTGTTTGAGATCCAGTAGCTTAAAGCTGCTCAATCTGTTCGTTTCTTAAAGACTTTAGTAATATGTGAGATGGGAATATTTTCTCTGGCTCTAGGAGAATTCCTTGGATGAGGCAAAACGCAACAGATACAGCTGGAAATAGTCCTTACTGCTGGATACAATAATGTGTAGAGAACGTGAACCAGCTTCTGTAATGTGTCTTTCTTACGGAAGGATCCCAAATCATTCTGTAAGCAAAACTGCCTTGTCAAGAGCGTGGTTTAGCTGATCTCTTCTTTACAAATCTATTTGCAAAGTGTTTGGAAGCGGTTTTTAATGGTAAATGCATTTACTAGGACCTTTTCAACTTATTGTCATTCTTTGATTTTAACAAAACAGAAGCACTGACCTTAGAAACGCAGTCTGCTCTCTTGACAGGCCAGCTTTTTGCACAAAATTCATTTTGATGCACAAAAAACCCTGGATTTATGAATGCCTAACAATTCAATTGGAAAGCTAAGTACTGGAGGCACTTTTTTTACATCCCTGAATTTCTCATGTTACTCTTTGGAGATTGGTTTTTTCCTCCTCTCCCTTTAATTCTATTCTTTCCTGGTTAAAACCAACATTCCTTAGTATAAGAACATCTTATAAAGGACAATACCTTTTACTACTCAGGCCACTTTACCTGGAAGCACTTCCCTACTCTCATTTTTGCAAGACAGCAGCACAAATTACACTTATTTCCCCACCTCTACTCTTACTGGCCACTTCCATTGCACTCTATGCCTTCTCTTTTTTGTTCTGCTGTTTGTTTTGCTAATCACTGCTCATCACCACAAGGATGGCAACCCAGAATTCAAAACCAACAGCTCTCTCTCCTAAAGGAATTCTTTCTTTTGATATGCTTTTCAGTATGTTATATTTCACCATGAAAGAGTGCAGGGGGCTGTCAATCCATGTTTTTCAAGTCTTGTTCCTCTTCTCTCCAATAATTTCAGGCTAGCTACAATTTTTGTGCTTTATTTATGCTACTGATACTATGCCAAAAATCCCTGAAACCTGCCTCACCATCCTCCTCTAATCCAGCCCTTTTTCGTCGCTTCAGTGCAGGTTGCTGTAGCCTGGTTTGCTCTATTTCTATAGAGGACAGGCAACTAGTCTCACACAGTGACAAGGCATTTTTAAGGGTCCCTTCTTCCAAATCTCCAGGTCACCAGCTCTGAAAACCACCAAATCAAACTATATATTCCAGCACTTTACCAGTTTGTATCTAGACTGCTATCAGTCCCATTCATTTTTCAACATCTTGAGAAGTTCAGCCCCAAGCATCCTTTCTAAAGCTGTATGACAAGAGCCATTTATTCTGACATCATGGAAATTTTCCATCCTCCCAGCTACACTCTTCCACGTGCTTTGCAGAATTCTGAAGACGTTATAAGCCTAAACTAAACATCTCATCTTCCCTAGGCTTACAGCCTTGCAGAAAGACATATTTATTTTGGACTGAGAGCCCTAGGGAAGCAGCAGGAGTGCAAGTGTTTTGACACAAAAGGACTCATCTTCCACTACTGCTAAGGATCGCACTTGTCCACCTCTTCCTGAAACAGTGATTAGATTGTCTACCAGATTAATTTAAGACTAACGTGGCCTGTGATCAATCAGGCCTTGCATAGAAATTGCCATCGGGGGTTTTATGCACCTCAGACTAACTCTGCACTTCAGAAGGTCCTTAAGTCCCAATTTCTCAACCCCTTTCATCTGCATTCTCCAACCAGCTCATTCCACTGAACGGCAACAGAGGCAGCCTGAGGGCAGCGGACACCAGGACTAGCATGATCAGAACAGAACATTTACTTAAGGTCTGTTTAATTGTGTTAATGCCAGCAATGTACTTGAAAGGAAAGGAGGGCTTTGGTGGGAATACAAAGTTCTCTGAAGGCCTATGGAGGGAAACCTACCAGAATTTGCCCAATGTGAACAGATCCAGAAGTGCTATCGCCTGCTCTGGGCTCAGACCACATTTACTGAAGCTTCTGAACCAACAGAAATAGAGAACTTGAGTGACATTAACAAAAACTGTGGTCCTTGAAGACTAACTAGATAGCCAGTAAGGACTGACTCCCTCAGTTTTGGCCCAGTGATCTTTCAGCTGTGTTGCTGGTTCAGACACTGAAGAGATTCCTTCCCACTGGTGTGATGTCTTCCTGCGAAAGGAAAACACTTCTCCTATTGCTTGTGAACAGAAGATCAAGCATCACTAAGAGAGGAGAACGTATTTCCTTTTTAAAAAAAACACAGAATGACACAATTTTTAAGTTTCTCTTTGACACCACCACCAAAACCCTGACCATAATTAGTTAGAAAATACTTGGTTAAATACCGGTAGACTCCATTGACTTCATCCGTTTCTATTGCTGCATCATCGCAGAGTGCACAGAAGTAGTGATAGCTTCTGCGACAGGCTCTTTCCTCGCATCCCACGGTGGCTCCTTTCTTGCGACAGAAGTTGCACATCTAGAACAGGATGAGGTTTAGCAGGTAAGCATTAGAGCTACCAAAAATCTTGCTATACAAGGAGAACACTACCCCTCCGTGGGAAAATCAAATCTTCTGTTGCAAGTCATAGAATCACAGAACAGTTTGGGTTGGAAGGGACCTTAAAGACCATCTAGTTCCAACCCCCCTGCCATGGGCAGGGACACCTTCCACCAGACCAGGTTGCTCAAAGCCTCATCCAGCCTGGCCTTGAAGGTGTCTACAAAGTCACCTTTGTAGAGCTCATCAGGCAAGTTCTCACCTGCCTACTCCTACCCTGTCACTATTTCAGCTGCCTGTTTCCCGCTTTACCTCTGCTTCATACCGATGAATTTGTAAAACGATGCAGAGAGCTGTGTGACAGCACCGGGCAACTTCTCGCCCTCCCCTAAATCTTGCCCAAGTTATTTCCATACCTATTGGTATTAGTGCTTGTATTTGTGTTTTCTAGGCTAACTTTGTAATGAGAAGAGTTCCTCCCAGGATGCAAGGGAATAAGGCAGCTGAGGACAAAGCCAGTAAGAAAACCTCATAAATAACCTTCCTTATGCTAAAAACAGAAGGTTTTTCCCTTTACACTTACAGATTGCATAATTTTCTTTCAGGCACTGGCTTGGTTCTTCACCAAAGGAAACTAAGGACTTAAAGGACAGAAAAAAACAACATATCTTCATACAAAATTAACTCAATTTCACCACATACCATGGAAAATCAATGCTTATAACTCTAAATCTGTAATTTCCCTCATCTCAGTAGATCAGAATGACCAAGTACTTCTTTTGCACTTTTTTCCAAGCATAAGACAGGCCAGACAGGACTAAGGGCTGATTCAGAAAGAACCTCCTTACCAGCCGCTTTCCTCTCTTGAGTTCTTTCAACACGGATGCCACATCAAACCTTACATCCAGGTTTTCTGGATTATACTCTTCAGATTCCACAAATCCTGAGGAAAATAACTACAGACACAAGAGCTAAGAATTAGTAGAGGGACTCAGTCACCAGTGTATTCCAGAGAAAATGCACTTAACCTACCTAAGCAAGGCAGATTTTTCTCTGTGTTTTTAAGAGGCTTCACCTACACTGAACAAGGAGCTGTGCTTAAACCTTTTCCCAGTCAAAAGAAGTTCCTCTATCTATACAGGAGCTTTCACCTGACCTGAAGGTGAACTAAGAAAAGATAACAAGGTGAGAAACCAAACTCAGTGAGAAGCATGAAGGAAGAAAGTCCGTACTCTGGGCAGCCTGGACTTGTGGAGAAGCTCTTCAGCTGACAGCCTCCACACTCTGAACATCTTGTTACCTACCCAGGTGTACAGTCTCACAATGGATGCAACATTTCTCTGTAATAAAATTCCCATGCAGTCCAATGCTAAGGACAGTTGACTGCATGAGAAAAAGCAACAATATTGTACAGACCCTGAGAGAAACCCACCAAAAATGCAGGCAGGCACATTTGGGCCACTTTAATTCCCACAGAATTGCTGAGCCATGACAGTAAGCAAGGAAGGGGAGTTCTTAGCAACTTTTTTCTAATCATTATATATAGCCAATTCCAAAGAAAAGTGAACTACCCTTATGTTAATAGCAGGTACAGTCTGTCTGCTCAGAAGGTGACAACTAACTGCAAAAGAGACGAACAGTGCAGAGAAATTAACAAAGTCAGGGCAGACAGAGTGTTTCAACACTGAAGCAACATCATAGCCCTAACAAAACTCTGTCAAACAAAACATGGTTACACTATATAACAAGTATCAGATGTTTCCAAAACAATCTGCTAAAAAAAAAAAAACCCACCCAAAACCAAAAACCACAGAGGCTGTAGAAAAATAAAGATGTAAACATAAAAACTGTGAGAATAAGAAGGCTGAAACAGTGAAAAACAGAAAGCTGTTCCAGCAGCAGGTGTATCTCCTGCACTAGGTGACCCTCACTGACGGGTGAATACTGTATCTGTAATTGATTCTGCACACCAAGAACCAGCTCCACCAAGATCCCAGAATAAATGGGAGGCATTCTGACAGCAAGAAGCCTAAATACATTCTAGGATCACAGCAGGCTTAGCGCTTCATAGATATTTTTATACAATCAACTTCTGATATTTTTATTCCTTATTTTACATACGGCGCAGACTGGGAAGGTTTTTTACCTTGATACATCAAGTGACGTGAATATTTGCCCGCAGAGGTTTAAGTAAGCACACAACTTTCTGTGGCCTCAGCAGCCTCACGCATTTCAGTGTCTCAAGAAGAACTATTCCTACTGCTGGACTCCATGTGCGCCTGGAACCACTCATCAGGAGCCGACATGCATGGAAACACCACAAATCAACGTGTCCAGCTGAGCAGCCGTGTCCTCTCCCTCTCCAAAATTCTGGCCAAGCCCTGTTGCTTTTCATGGCTTTCCAATCTAATATAAAAGCTTGCTGGTTTGGGTAACCAACCTTTGAATTCAGACACCACTGCAGAGCCAAAAGGAGACAAGCAGTGCAAACCCCCTTTAGCCCCTCTTCTCCGCTCATCTTAGGTACCGACCAACTAAAAGCCACTCACCAGACAATCCTGATGAGCTGCAACATTTCGCTCTTTGGCAACATACATTACAGAACCAGCCTCCCCTTCTGAACAGAACGCACACGTTCTTCTCACCATCTTCGCCATTATCCGGAAAACACCTAGAGCAGGAAAACTGGGACAAAACACAAAGCAGCTGATGCAACGATCACACGCCAAGCAGGATGAACGGAGGAAAGCACAGCTTGTTAGCACCTGCCCTCTAACTGCTCCTGCACCTACACCCCCAGAACCCTGGTGCTTTGCTCCTCCAGCAACAACTACTAGTGGAAGAGTAGAACTCTTGGGACAGCAGTGGGATGGAAACCAGCTCCCAGGAGTTCCAGCAGTTAGAGGAAGAAGAAAACTGGTTTATTTCCTCTTGGAAAGACACTAACAACTCGTGGGGGATGATACAAGGGCTTTCAAGCTCGCTTGGCAGCATCTGCTCCAACAAGAGGCCCAGGAGCGGGCCAGCAAGTCATGCCCGAAACGTGAAACCCCTTTTATTCAGAGGAGGTCAATCATTCATAGCAGTGCTCCCCTTAAGCTAGTTCTGCCACATGTGGGTCTGCAAGTCCACTGAGGAGAGAAAAACAGCTGTCCCCAGACTCTCCAGTGCCTTCCAGGAGGTCACAGAAAACAAGGAAGAAACACTAATTTCAACTGTAAAAAGGGTGTAGCAAAGAAGCGTGGAGAGGCTTGCAAGTGAAAGGAGGCAGTAGACAGTCAGAAATGAGAGATCTGAACAGTCTCTCAATGAGGTGAAGCACTAACATGAGCGACAGTCTTTCCTTTATTCCCCGGGATTTGCCCCATGGACATCTGAGCTCTTTTTCTGGCCATATCCACTCAAGCCTTAATTATTGTTCTTCACACACTATCTCTTTTCCCTCAGCAGCTGCAGAATTTTAAGGCCAGCTACTTATTTCACAAAACAGTCTAAATGCTTCTGGATAAGCCTTTACCTGCACACACACCTCCCCTCCCCCCCCAACAGTTTAGAGCATCACGCCACATATTAATATCAAAAGTTTTACTTTGTCTGTGGTTTCTCTACAGGTCCACTCAGAAATCTTCAACAATTTCCCACTCCTACTAGGTACAAAACTCCAAACTGCCCTTTGCTGGTGACGCCACCTCTGACAGCACAAACTCCTGTAGGATAAGGGTAAGAGAAGTCTGGTTTCACTTTCAAGAAATAAGAAGCTTTGAAGTTCAGTTATTGTAGCGACAGAGAGGCGGTAAGATCCAAGTACAAAACAGTTTGGAAATCTCACAGTCCAGCAAGTCTCGCACACATTTCTGTGGCTTTCAACAGCCAACCTCTGCTTTGATTAGTTCCCAACTCCCTGCCATAAAGTGGAGGGAGGGTAGTCTCAAGTGAGAACAACAGAGTAGAAGGGGATTTGATTTCCTCCCCCCCGTCTCTGACTCTGCCACTGAGAATTTACTTAATCACAGCAAGTCACTTTGCCTCCACATGCATCTGGGTTTTCCCCCCTCTCCCTCGTCCTATCTCTTGCAAGCAAGGTAGGGTAGGGACTGATTTCCAATATCCATCTATACAGTGACCATCACATCAGCCTGAGAACCTAAGCATTAAATAAAGATGATTGAAACTAATAGAAATGTACAGAAATAGAAATACTAGAAATAGAAAACAAAGAGAAATAGAAATTAAAAGGCAGAACAAGCTAGAGTTTGAATGGTCTAGAACCCAGTAAGAGCTCTCTGAAGCAAGCTGATGCCTGGGATTGACACAGATACACAGGACCTGCTCAGGCCCAGTCAGAGGATCCAGCTCCAGGGGCTCTGGGAATTTTGTGAGGAAGAGGCTAAAGGTGGAGTCTACAGTCCCTGGTGTTCTTACAGGCTCAGGAGAAATCCTGGTGCTGCAGGAGAACAGAGGACACTCACCCAAGGTCAGCCTTGGGGCAACCCCAGCCCCTTTGCAGGAACCCCAAAGCTCTTGGCCATTCCTCACTGCAGGCAGGCAGCCGGACCTGCTGCCCCGTTTCACTCCGTATCCTGTCTCCTCCAGGAGCATTGCTTTGGCCCTGTGCTCTTCTCCAGCTTTCTGCTACAGACTACTGCCAGGGAGAGGATGGCGAGCTAAAGGGGGCAACGGATCCATCTGGCTCCTCTCAACCGAGAAGGGAGAGGCTAAGGGCATGGTTCTAGTTGCAGAGTCTAACTGCATTTCGCCTAAAGAACCCCCTGCTTTTGCAGGGCTTAAGCCTGCTGTTCCCGATTCCACTGATACCCCGGGATCTGTCTTAAGAGGCAAGAAGTCATTGTTCCTTACTCAGCTCCACCAGTAACAGCGTAGATCTCTTCCCTTTCTCCTACTGTCTCTTTTTCAGGTTAAAGAATCTGAAACTATTTAGTGGTTCCTTGTACTTGGATCATCACGTCTCCATCTATTCTCTACTCCTGCCATGTTCCACGGGGAACAAACAAACTTCCAAAGGGTGAGCAACCATTTACAATGCAAAATCACAGTGGCGCTCTGTATTTTTCTATTTTCCTTAATCGTTCTTAATATTTCAATCACATTTTGGACTGCCTCTGAGCACAGACCTGATGCTTTCACAGAACTACATATTATAGCCCCCCAAATCTCTTCCTGAGTGGTATCAGTACAGAGGGCATCAGCATTACATCTGTCCTCCGACATGCAGCCTTTTCCACTTATTTTAGATTTTCACCTGCTATTTCCTAGTAAAATCACTCACCGGCACAAAATCCTTCTGCAACTCTTCACAGCCAGCTTTCACTTTCACTGCCACAGAAGCAGACTGAGGGAACCTGTGGCGACTAATTAATTTATAAAAGCTGGCGGCCCTTCCACTGCCCTCCACTAATGACCAAGCAAATGAAGCTGCCAAAACAGAAGACAGAGGAGAAGCAGCTGAGGGAAAGGAACAGTCGTATTCCTCTGGCTGCTCCTCTGGTACCTGTGCCATCTGCTACAGGCAGGGTGGTTTGGTTTTTTTTTTTTTTTCAGCAGCAACAAAATGGAAGAAAACGGGAAACGAAACAGAAAGTAAAACGGGATGAGACCGTTCTTGGCAAGAGCCCAGGGACTATGCCACTTCCAAATACACCTTGCTGAAACACTACCAGATTTTCCATAGTACATCCTCTCCAGAATCAGTTCTGAAACCATCCTCACCTATAAATACACACATTCTACACAGGAGAAAACTAAGGCACAGAATGTCACCCAGCGTATGCGTATGGGAGTAGGGAAAAAAAAACCAAGACCCGTGACTTCCAGCACACCACCTAAACCCACTGCCCTAGCTCCTGCTCTGTTCTCCTCTTCAGTATAGGGAAGGATTTGATCTACTGATGGAGGAAGAAAGAAGGGAATTACATACCTGTTACCCCACACTGTCTCTTCCATTTGCACTTTGTGGGGACAGAAGCACTGCTGGGCATGACCTACATAAGCCCCTTGCCCATTCTCCCCCACCATTAGCACCATAAACACACCCAGCTTTTGCAAGGCTTTCAGAACAAAGAAATCTATCTTTCTGATCACCTTTTACTTGCTACAGGGGGAAGATTTTTAAGAATATTAAAAAATACTTTCTTTAGAAAGGTGCATGTTAACATCTGATCCCAGCAATGGGGGTGACTGGAAGGTTCCTAATTAGATCTCAACTCTCACCTACTCACAAGAACGGTTTGGGTTGGAAGGGACCGTAAAAACCATCTAGTTCCAACCCCCCTGCCATGGGCAGGGACACCTTCCACTAGACCAGGTTGCTCAAAGCCTCATCCAGCCTGGCCTTGAACACTCCCAGGGATGGGGCATCCACAGCTTCTCTGGGCAACCTGTTCCAGTGCCTCACCACCCTCAACATAAAAATTTCTTCCGTATGTGAAATCTAAACCTACCTTCTTTCAGTTTAAAACTGTTGCCCCTTATACTGTCACAACAGAGCCTGAGAAAAAGTCTCAGCCCTTCTTATACCACCCCTGTATACGCCAGACGGTCTCCCCGGAGCCTTCTCTTCTCCAGGCTGAACAAGCCCAACTCTCTCAGCCTGCCCCCATAGCAGAGGGGCTCCAGCCCTCTGAGCATCTTCGTGGCCTCCTCTGGACTCGCTCCAAACAGTCTATATCCTTCTGATGCTGGGGGTCCCAGAGCTGGATGCAGCACTCCAGGTGGGTGATGTTTAGACTTCTTAGATGTTAGAGGTCTTCCACTGCTCCCGGATGTGCTTCTTGAAGCAACACCTTACCCACTGACATGCCACTTCCAGCATTTTAAACACAGCGGAGTCATTTTTAAGGGACAAACTGTTCCTGCTTTGCTAAAGCCACAGGTCAGAACTTGAAGAAGGGCAGGGATCGCCTCTCCCCAGACTTGGACACCTGGAGGCTGAGGCGGGGCTGGGCTAGGGCCTGCTGAGGCCGTGTCTGCCCTCACGCCCCAGTGCTGAGGCCTAACGGGACGAGCTGTCACCTGCAGAGCCGGCCCGGGAGACTCAGGGCCGGGGCAAGCCCAGTCGCGGGGGGG